GGCTTCAAACAGGCAAGGCGCCACAAGGAAAGCAAGACCCTCGCAGCTCGGAGTTTTCGGCACCACTCCTGTGCGGGTCCTTGATGAAGATCCGAGGCAAGACCTGCACCGGGATGATGTAGCAACCAGGCTCTCTTAGTAAAACAAGCAACTGCAGGCCAGCTTTGCAAGACACTTTTTTCCATCAATCGCCTCGCCCGCAGCGATAGGCACTCTCGCTGGAAGACTGGCTAGTAGGTTCGTGGGACTTCTGGCTCCTTCTTATCAGGGAATCTTTGATTTTAAGCCTGGAAGCTTCTGTATGAAGTGGAAGTCCTCAGCTGGCTTACATGTGATGTCCCATGAACCTCCTAGCCTCGGGGGCCCTTGCCAGCACCTTTTCCCGGTCCCTTTCCTGGTGCTGCAGGCGAAGCAGCGCCTGGCCGCGCTCCTGCACGGCGAGCCCTTGGAGGGCAAAGTGGGACCCTAACTGGCATCGCTACAGGCCCAACCCCCGCTCCTCCCGCTGCAGGGCGAACTGGGAGCGAAGGCGTCAGGGCTCGGATATGCCGCGTCACTACCTCCGGTGGTGGTCGCGGCCGCGGTGGTGGCCCAGGGACCGGCAGCAAATTCCGGATCATATCCGGGACCACCACCTGAAGCAAGAAATATTCAAGGAGCGTCAGAAGTAAATGGCTGCCAGGCTGCCTGTGACTCCGGAATGTCGTGGTAGCGAGCCATCATGGGTGCCCACGCAGTGGCCGGCAAAGTGTTGCTCAACTGAGTACCAAGCGGCTGCTCACTGCTGCTGCGGCTACACTCCACAGAACAAAAGCCTATTGCCAATTGCAGGCCGGGCGCAATACACTCCGTGAGGAAGCTCATCTGCCTGTGACAGGCAATCTCGTCTCTGCCCGCATCCTCAAGGCAAAAGCAAAGGCTTTTCAGACAGTGCATCCTTTTTTAAAGTTGGCATGGACTCAGACGATTACGGCAATCAAGATACGGATGGCACCGAAGTCGACGGCGCCGATGGCGTCGGCCCCGTCGAAGGCGCCGATGGCGTCGGCCCCGTCGAAGGCGCCGATGGCGTCGGCCCCGTCGAAGGCGCCGATGGCTTAGGAACCGACGCCTTCGCCGACATGCGCTCACGGTGCCTCTGCCTCTTCTTGGACCGGTTGGAAGTCGGGTCCTTGCATTTGGTTGTCGGGTTAAGACAATGTGCCGCACAAGATTTGGGGGACAGGGCTTGCAGCTGAGAAGCTGCATCAAAGTGCTTCGGCGGAAGCTTCGGCTGGACCTCGCGGCCTTCCGCATCTCGCACCAACCCCTGAGTTCCAGAACAGGAAATAAATTCAACATGAACCATAAAGGCACGAATCTCTGTGTGCTGCCGAAGGTCGCTTGAGGAAGCCGCATGGGCCACACTCTTTTCCTCCTCTTCCTCCCCCTCCTCCTCGGACTCCTCGGCGAGCTTCTTGACCTCCTTCTTGCTTTTGCCCTTCTTGTCGCCCTTCTTGTCGGCCTTCTCCTTCTTTTTTTTTTTCTTCTTCTCGTTGTCCTTTTCCTCCTCCTGGCGGCCACTGGTCGTCTGCTTGACTGTCTAATGCAGGGAAAGTCCTAAGCTCTTTCTCGAGAACGATAATGCTTGGAATGTCGTTGGAAAAAGACAATATTCTCAACAGAGCAATGCTAGATAACAGGAATGTATATGTACAGCGTCGAATAAAGTTACATGGAGATCCCTCGGCAGACTGAGTCCAAATCCAGCACGTCACACAAACGAACTTAGGTGGGAATAGACGTCTCTATCAGAATGAAGTACGCCTACTGCATGTAACTAATACTTACGACCATCCACTCTTGTGAGCGACCCCTGTCCTTGTGGCGGCGCCTGTCGCGGGAGCCCGGCATGGCTTCACAAGCTTCCCGAAAATCGAGATGAAAGTGGTGTTACAGTTACACGTTCAGTCTGATCTGGTCCATGCGACATGCGACAATTGACAATGCGATGGCTCTCACATGAAATCATGCATGTATTCCGAATCTCAGAACCCTGTCGGTGCTGCTGATTCGTTTCGAATCAGCTTGAAGATATGCTGCAGAGCATGTCTAAGATGAGCTTGTGCTGCGAAGTGCAAGGGGCTGGGCAATCAGACTGCGTGCAAACAGCAAGCATTCAGGATCCTTGCTCTGCTACGCAACAATCATGTCGGATCTTGAGCAGCAATGCTGAATTCGCGCCTCGTTCGCCAAGACCGGCCGCATCGGAGGTTGCCGCGATGTCCCGGACCTCGCGGCAGGAGCTCGACCAACTAAGTCTTTTATATTTTGAAACTCCCGATCAAGCAGTGGCACAAGACTTCGATGCACTTACCCACGGCAAGAATCTGACTGCAACCTCCCGAACAAGCCCCTGCAGCACAGGTTTAAACTGCCCTCCCGCGCCCGGCAGCTGAGCACAAGACAGCGAAGGCGCTGGGGAATGTCAGACAGGTTATGGTGGTATTTTCAAGTAAGCCCAAGGCCTAAAATCTGAAATATTCTGCGAAAACAAACCTGAACCTGAAATTCCCGCGACCTCCTGAACCGGCAACCCTCCAACCCGAGCTTATAGGGTTTAGGGTTCCTTAGGCTTTAGGGTTCAGGGTTTAAGGTCTATGGTTGTACGGGCTTAGGGTTCGTTAGGCTTTAGGGTTCAGCATTTAAAATTGTTTTACGGGCACCACGGTCCGGAGACCGTGGTAGCCACGACCCGGAGGTCGTGACGGCCACTCGTGACGGCCAAAGCCCGGAGACTTTGGCACCATGGTCCGGGGACCGTGGTAGCCACGCCCCGGAGGTCGTGACGGCCACGACCCAAAGATCGTGACGGCCAAAGCCCGGAGACTTTGGCACCACGGTCCGGAGACCGTGGTAGCCACGACCCGGAGGTCGTGACGGCCACGACCCGGAGGTCGTGACGGCCAAAGCCCGGAGACTTTGGCACCACGGTCCGGAGACCGTGGTAGCCACGACCCGGAGGTCGTGACGGCCACGACCCAGAGGTCGTGACGGCCAAAGCCCGGAGACTTTGGCACCACGGTCCGGAGACCGTGGTAGCCACGACCCGGAGGTCGTGACGGCCACGACCCGGAGGTCGTGACGGCCAAAGCCCGGAGACTTTGGCACCACGGTCCGGAGACCGTGATCAAACTGCGCACTCACTGGGTTTAGGGCTTAGGGCTTGATGTCTAAACCTTAGGGCCTTAGGGTTAGGGCTCACCCCAAATGCCACCAAAATTTTAACGCTATCTTAAAGAATTAACCTATTTTACTCCCGGCCCTAGACCTTGGTTGACCCGCTACACCCTAAACCTAACCTGAATTAAAATTCAAGCTAGGTCGAACCCCTACCTAGCCCTGAGCCCTGACTAAACCTGGGTTTCATTGCCTAGCAGCCCTCTGTGTCCGAAGTTACGGATCTACTTTGCCGACTTCCCTTACCTACTTTGCTCTATCGACCAGTGACCAGAGGCTAGAAACCTTGCAGACCTGATGTGGCTGTGGCCCCCGGCGCCGATTTCCACGTCCACGGCGAAGGCGAGAGCTTAGGGTTTAAGACCTTCAGGAGTTTAGGGTTTGGGACCTTCAGGAGTTTAGGGTTTAGGACCTTCAGAAGTTTAGGGTTTAGGACCTCAGCCTCGCCGTGGTAGGCGCCCTAAACCCTACACCTGCAACCCTAAATCCTAAACCCTACAGCCTGCAGCCTAAATCCTAACGCCGTGGCAGGCGCCCCTAAACCCTAAACCTAAAACCTCAATCCTATAAATCCTAAACTAAAGACTAGTAAGTATACTAAATGCTATCGCCGTGAAAGGCGCTTAGACTAACGTCGCCGTGGAAGGCGCCCTAAACCGAATCCTATAACCTCAAGTGAAGACTACTAACTAACTACTAACTAGACTAACCCTGCACCCAACGCCGCCCGAAAACCTAAATTCTAAACCCTAGCCGAGGCGCCCTAAACCATACACCGGAAACCCTAGCCCAGCCTCCACGGCCGCCACGGCCACGGCCGCTGCTGCTGCTGCTGCTGCTTACTACTTACTACTTACTACTTACTACTTACTACTTACTACTTACTACCACCTACTACTACTACTACTACTACTACTACTACTACTACTACTACTACTACTACTACCACTACCACTACTACTACTACATCATGCCTAGAAGTCTAGAAGTGACCTTTGATTTTTTTCGGGCATGTGCTCCCCGCGCCACAAAATCCCAACCCGGAGTGAGACACGTCACGACTGGCATAAGTAGAGAGCACTCTGCATTTTTGCCATAATCGGCAGAAGCCAGCTGTAAGTTCTGGTAAACAGTCTAATCTGACGAATGTCAAATGACATGTTCGCTGAAGACTGCAGGATGTTGTTTGTTGCGTGAAAAAGATTCGATCGCTGAGCGGGTGTTGCCATGGCCGATTCTGCTGGCGATATAAATCCCGTTCCTCACTAATTATAACCCTAGTGACTAAGTCCCATGATCCTTTAAGTGGGCTGTGTGGGGTTCGGGGTCTCCGGTCGGGAAAAGCTTGAGGGTTTGGCTTTTAGGTTTTTGTAAAGGCTTCCCAGGCTTCATACTGCTGATGGACAAAATCCTGCATTACCTTAAGGACCCGAAACTATGGGAACTATGGTATATTCCTTATAATGGGTGATGCAGGATCTTGTCCATCAACAGTAGTGTTGTTCCTTTTTGCACAGGAGCTTACGGTGCTTTACTGTGCTGATCAAGAGTGCGGTGACGCGGCTAAACACGGCGGTTGCGGCATAGCCACATCTCAACAAAATTGCGGCCTCTAGCTCAAACCCGAACCTCTCAACTTCTATTACCCCAAGGGTCCAAGTACCTAATAATCAAAAACTCTCCAAAATCCTAACCTACATAACTACTATCCTAAAACCGAGTACCTAACTATTGGGTCCTTGGGACCCTTGAGGTTAGTGCAGCTCTTGTTGTTGCCCAGCCTCCGCTTTGGTCCGCATGTCAACTGTCGGCTCCTGACTTAGCCCGTAGCCCAAAACCCGAAACTCGAAACCCTAAACCCCTAAACCCTAAACCCTCTAAACCCTAAACCTTAAACCCTAAACCCTAAACCGTTAAGCCCCTCTCTGAAAACCCTTTGAAAGGTACTCGTCGGCTTCGGGCTCTGAGATTTCAAAGTTCACCGCTTTAGAGCTTTGAGGTGCTTGGTGGTTAAGACTACAGCGGTATCCTCTGGGTAATGGTTACCCAAAGGCCAAATGACAGTTCCTTTTTGGGATTACCTTGTAGGATTCTATCTTTGAACCCCAAACAGGAACTACTTTGGGGCCGTTGGCTAGCTTGTTGGCTTGAGAACTTAGCTCTGCGTGGCTTCGAGCTACTTGCAGGATTCAGGGTTTAGGGGTTTGGGGTTTAGGGGTTTAGGGTTTAGGGAGGCTTGGTAACTTTAAGTCAAAAGCACGGTGGGAATGACGAACCGAGGTGTCCGAACCCTAAGTTCGGGCTTGCGAGGAACAGGTTAGACGAAAAGGGAGGGCAGCTCCCGTAGTTGTACCCCTTACAACATCATCCGGTTCTGGCCACATGCATACATAATCGGTCGACACACCGTCATACAGATGCTGTCTTCGATGAACCATGGTGCACAGCCTTCACTTCACTCTTCCGCCCCTTGCAGTTGCTCTCACTCACTAAACCCTAAACCCTGCCTTCTCATAAGGAGTGGACCCGAAACCCTGCGCAGCATGGGCTCCTCAATACTTAGATACCGGACGTTAAGGACCATAATAGGGCCCTAATATAATCCTTATAGTCACTATTACAGGGTCGGGGCAGCTTCTAAGTGCTATGACGATCTAGAACGCCAAAAGGGGCTACTATTCCTAATCATTTAGGCCCCCATACTATTCCAAACCGTCCTTCCGTACACCCAGGCCGCACAATCCAGAAATGTGAATTTCAGTCAGTGCTGATGCACAAGAAGGACTCGTAACTGCAAAGCTATAGCTTCTTCGCCGCTAGCAGGCCCTCACAAGACCGTCTCCATGAAAACTAAGCCAAGGCACATAGAAAAAGGGATCCCGAAATGGCCGTAGCCTTATAGTAGAAGCCAGAAAGTTGGAATATCATTATCGTAGCCCCTTTAAGGTAAATTATAGGGGATCCTACCATTAATCCAGATTCCAACTTTCTGGAGTTCCCTTTATGATCTGCACCGACAACCACCCGGAACCTGCAACCCTGGACTGACCCTAAATTCTAACTCCCTCATCAACCCTGCTACAACCCTCCCAAGCCCCCAAACCCTCCACCCAAAGGCCAGAACCCTAAACCCGAAAGAACTGACGTTTTTCGAGTTCATTTTCTCATGGTGTCCTCATAAAGTTCCTTGAAAAAGTGTAGGTTCTTCAGGCTCTAGGTAGGACCAAACTAAAGCATCTTTGCTAAAACCCTCCAAACCCCCCAAAACCTTAAACGTTTGAATCCCAAACCCAACACACCCGTAGACCTTACCCTAAGGCTCCTAAGAGGGTCTTGGTCTTTCTGGGGGAGGGTTTCGGCTTTTGGGGGCCAGGGTTCGGGATCTTACTACATGGGAGGCTTTTTAGTGTAGACCCAAAGCATCTGAAAGCTCCTTGGTGATTTGGACTGCCACCTTATCCTCGCCCTGCTGCTGCCTGACAAACATGACTAGGATACCCAGTAACCTAAGAATAAAAAGGCGTCTCTTTTTGGTATTGGGTAACTTTATAAGGAACCTAGGACTACAAAAAGGGAATCGGGGTACTACTGGGCATCCTAGGAAGTATTCATGAACAGGTGCCTCTAAAGGCCCATAAGGGGGCCTGACAAACATGACGGATCGGGGCTCTCTAGGTTCGGGTTGAGGGTTCAGCAGGTTCAGGGGGTTTTGGATGTTTAGGATTTAGAGCTTCGGGTTTCGGGGAAGTGAGTCACCATGGAGGGTTCTAGATAACATGAGGACCGCAGCAAGGATGCCCATAAGCCTACTCGCTTGAGCTTGGAATTCCCTTCTGAAGGATTTTGCCGGCCTTACCCCAAGGGTCCAAAGGACCCAATAATTCGGTACTCGGTTTCAGGATAGTAGTTACGTGGTTAGGATTAAACCCTAAACCGATCAGGTACTTGGACCCTTGGGGTTATTGCCATTGCCACTCCCTCCGGGTGGACCCCCGAACACTTGGAGGATCATGGGACATATAGTAAGTAAGGCGATAAGTACCTTAATTGGGGTTATACGTAGTTATAAGTATAGTTCCCCCTAGTTATAACCCTAGTTACTAAGTCCCATGACCCTTTAAGCAACCTCAAACAGCAGCCAAGACATGCACAGCCTCCTACTTAGAGGTTCGTGGGTAGTTTTAAGTGGAGTTGTAAGTACGGTAGCTATGATTATAGCCAATTTTGGGGGGACTTATAACTCCACCTACAACTACCCATGAACCTCCAAGTAAATCCTATCCTTAAACCTCAAACCCTAGCGCACCAGGCTTCCTCGGATGCGGCACGGATGATCCTAACATCAGCCTCACACAGCTAGAACCTGACGGCTAAAACCCTCAAGACCCAAAAACACACACGAATCCCTAGGCCCCAACAACTCTAAACCCTAAACCCCTAGACCCTAAACCCTAAACCCCTAAACCCTAATCCCTAAACCAGGCTGACTTCTGAACCCCTCCTAAGAGTTAAACTTTTAACCTCCTTATTATGGTTCATATAGAAACCCCAAAAGTTAAAGTCCTAAAGCGCCCCCTTATTATGCTTCATATAGAACCCCAAAAGTTAAAGTCCTAAGCGCCAGCCAGAAGAACGCCAAGGGTTAAGGTCGCATCTTAGTCCCAAGCCGCCTCAGTCGAGCGCACGTCGACGTGACCAAGGTCTGGAGGTTGGCATCGTCCACCTGACCAAACTGCGTCTCTGATGCCCTAAACCCTAACCCTAAGCCCTAAACCCTAAGCCTTAAGCCCTAAAACCCAAGCCCTAAACCTTATAAGCCCTAAGCCCTAAGCCCTAAACCCTAAACCCCAAGCCAAAAGCTCTAAACCCTTAGCCCCAAGAACCTAAACCCGTTAGGGTTACACTCTAAGCCTTAAGCCCTAGACCCTTAAACCTACAACCTAAAACCTAACCCCGCTAGGGTTTAGGGCTTAGGGTTTCGGGGTTCCTCATGTGTTCTGTGAGGATACAATACAAGTCAGGATTCAGGCTCCAGAGCTTAAGAATACACCGCCTGTGATGCACCTTAACCCACATAACTGTAGGGTCCCATACTATGATTTCCTTAGGTTAGGGTTTAGGGTTGAGCGTTTAGGGTTTAGGGTTGAGGGTTTAGGCCCCTGAAGGATCAGAGGAATAGGACCTAGGTTTACAAACAGGGATAGTTACCTGTAGCCCCAACTAAGTGACATATAATCTGATTACCAAGTCTCATGATCCTCCAAGTATGGTTTGGGTTCATACGGTGGCTCTTTTCGAAAATGCAGGTTGTAAATTGCTAAACAGATATTTCATACTACTGTTGAGGGACAAAATCCTGCATGACCTTCAGGACCCTAAACTATGGGAATTATGGTGTATTCCTTATAATGGGTAATGCAGGATTTTGCCCATCAACCGTCCCTCCGTGGGGCCCGTGGCCTTGGTGGTCTGGCCGCCCTCCATATAAGGGTCCAAGTACCTAATGACCATATACTCTCCAAAATAGTAACCTACCCTAAGGGTTCAAGTAGTTCCTATTTATGGTTTTTGGTACCTAAAAAGGCCCTGAAGTCCTACAATAGGGAGTACTTGGACCCTCTGGGCTACATAACTTAACTACTGTCCTAAACCCAAATACCCAACTATTGGACCCTTTGGACCCTAAAAGAACTTCAGCGTAGGATTTTGCGGCTGCGAAGGAAAAGCCTGATGCTTTTTTGCGGAGATGGCCCCATGTGCTCGTAGAAGCTTGCTTCAAGGCTGCTATGAAGGGTTAGAGTTTTTTGAGCCCCTTTTGCACCCAGCAATCCAGTCTTAGAGGTCTAGGATTTAGGGTTTGGGGATTCCGTCAAGGCTGCTATAGGGCCAGGGCTAGGATACCTGTTGGAGGCTTTTACAGTAGCGCTTCACAAGGGCTGTCTAAGCAGTGTAGATAATTTTCTAAGGGTCCACCAAAGCGTAGGACCCCTTGAAGGACTGCTGAAGGGAATCCAGAACTAGACCTAAGAGTAACCTAGGGATGAAAAGGGTGTCCTTTTTGGGTAAAAGGGAGTTATAAGGGAACCTAAACCCTAAAAAAGGGAATAAGGGCCTACTCTGGGTCCTAGAGAAACTGACAACCTGAAACTAGGGCTTAGGATTTCAGGTTCCTCGGGGTTGATGAGAGCTACCTGGACCCCAAAAGTATGTAAAATTATAGCCTTTTATAGGTTTTGGGCCATGATGTTACCTACTTTTGGGGGTTTAGGTCAGGACGAAGATCCCGGAACACCCAAAACATGTGAGTTCACTAAGCCCTGATAGGTTAGGGTAAAGGGCTAGGCTCAAAAACCCAAAACAATCCTAACAAATCCTAAAACTTGCCAAAAAAGTTGACCCCTGGACCCCTCAAAACCCTATCCCCAAGCAAGAAAGACACTCAAGAAAGCAGTCTGAAACCCCGACACCTCAAAAGCACAAATCCTAAAACCAATAACCCAACAACCTGAAGCCCTGCCTAGGAAAGCGGACCAAAGCCCTAAATCCCCGAACTTTACTGCTGCTACGATGCTGATGAAGGTTATCTGGAAGATTATGCGAAGCGCCATTATGTATCATTACCTGCCGTGGACAAAAGAGCACCATTTGCATAAATGCACCTTGGCGAACATCTCGATGCTGGAAAAGTAGTCGGCCACCTGACGTGCAACAAATGCAAAACACCCGAACCCAAACTCCAAAAACCCAAGCCCTCCCTGTCAAGCCACAGGGCTCGCATCAAGACACCGACGCCACAAAATCCTAAAGTCTGTGGACCTGTAAGCGTAGAGCCTGTGGTGCTCAGCCCAAGCCGTTGGCACATGGTTTCTGAAGAATACCTATAGTCTCCATTGTAGTTCGTTTTTTGGTTAACCAAAATCTCTATTCTAGGATCCTAGCCATAAAACTGGTTAACCAAAAAAAGGAACTACAATGGAGACTCTAGGTAGGTCCTAAGCCCCTAAACCATCCCTCAACCCCTAACACAAGCGCGCAGTTCCTGCAGCTCGCTCGACACACCACCAGGTTCCCTATAGTGTCTGTCCCCTTAATAATCAGGGAACCGCAGGTCTACATTTTGGGTAAGGGAACCCTATAAACTACAAAGAGCACAAGGCCTTAGCCGTTCCTTTGTCCTTGCCTTTGCTAGGGCCGCTAGGGCTCTCCTCCATGCGGCTAGGGGCGCTTGAAGAAGTGCGTGGCTGGGAGCGGGAGCCACTTCCCGCCCTGGCGCGCCAACAGGAGAGGCAACCTCGTCCTTTACTGGCTGGCCGGGCCCATGAGGCTGAAGGTGGGCTCGCTTGGTTGCGCAAGCCCATCGTCACCAACCACCGGCACAGCAAGCTTGTCATGGGCGTCGCTTTGCAGACGGTCCCAGACGCTCGCATTGCAGTACAGCGGCACCGCGGTCCAGTCCTGCAAACGAGCCCTCAGTCTCTGAGCGTCAGAGTTCAATACGGGCCGCTTCCTGGCCAGTACCATGAGTGTAGAAGTTCGGGCTGGAGCTTTACGCGACGTACCGTCCCGTGATAGCATGGAACTATAGGTTTAGGTTTCAGGGTTGAGGGTTTGGGGTTCAGGGGTTACTAGAAATGCATGCCATTTTGGGAAGATAGAGGCTGTGGGGTTAGGAGCTGGCTTTTGGAAGGGACCCGAATCCAACTCTGCAGGACGACTAGGGCCCCAAAAAAGCACATAAGCAAAAATTAGGGTAAGGATATCCCATATAAATCCCCTTATAATGAAGCCCAATAAGGTAGGGATATGCTTATGTGCTTTTCGGTCCCTAAACGACGGCTCTCCCCTGAATCCTGAGCTCCCTGCCATGAAAATACAAAAACAAAACATCCCTATGATTCGACGCACGTAAGACCCCCTTAAAAGAAGAAACCCTCAGAGAGCCTTTAAGGAATTCTTATGGAACCCTACAGCCCCAAAAACCCTGGAACTCTCCTGCACCAAACATCCTGAAACCCCTGAAACCATCCCCAAGCCTTATAAAATCCTCAAGCCATGCAACCCTCACGGAATGCTTAGACAACCAACAAAAGCCCTAAACCCTAAACCCAGCTGCCGTGACTGAAGAATTTAGAAAACGCGAGCGGAGCCCCGGAAGAAGCTTTCCAAGTCGGCCTCCATGGCCACCTCGGACTTGTCCTCAGAATGCACCAGCGGCAGGGTTTAGGGGTTAGGGCTTAGGATAAACTTTTCGGGCTTTCAGGGCACCTCTATACGGGTAGCTCTCTACATCAGGATCTCTTTCGGAGTCCGTTTTATAAGGCTGCCGTACTATATTGGGGACCTAAGAGGGGGCCTTAGTTTAGAGAACTACCTCTATGGATCTGCTTTAGGAACTCTAGGGCTTCTGCCACAGTGTAGGTTTGAGGAGATGGGGCTCGTGAGGGTTTGGGGGTTGAGGGGTTTAGGGGTTTAGGGTTTAGGGGTTGAGGGTTGAGGGTTTAGGGGTTTAGGGGTTTAGGGTTGAGGGTTTTGAGGGCTTGAGGGTTTAGGGGTTTGGGGGTTTAGGGTTGAGGGTTTAGGTCCAAAACTAGGTTCCTCAGTAGCCCCTTTATAATAAGGGTACCCTTTTTCCTACTATTCGGAGGGCCCCAAACCAAAAAGCGCAAAAGGGTACTTAGGAACCTCGAAAACTTCCGGGTTCAACTGCTCCCCCCAGGCCTTAAGGGTTCGATAAGGTACTATGGCGGCCTTTTTTATTACCTACGTATACTATTTTGGGGGACCCTTATTATAGTTCTAGTATAATGGGCCTCAAAACCCTATTCTAAATATTAAGGCCTCTATATTAATTTAATCGGGTCCAGGGTAAAGTTTCTTTGTTGATTGTTTAAGGGCCCGTTCCTTTACAAGGGTCCAGTCGGGATGAGGGCTGAGGAGTTTCAGGGTTTAGGCCTTTACTTTTTACGGCTAACTTAGGGCTTAGGGCTTAGGGTTTCCCAGAGGGTCCATAAAGAACTAGCATTATGGAATTAGGTCCCAAAAGACCATCCCTACTATGGTTTTGGGGCCCTAATTCCATAATAGGAGTGTATATGGACCCTCTGGGATACAGACCTGAATGGACTTGCAGTAGGATTCGGGTTGACTGTGTCAGGTTTTCGGGTTGGTGTGCGGGGTTTACGATCCGCATATCAGGGCCTGTGTAATTCCGTACACTATTTTGCGGGTTCCTTCTTATACTTATAGTAAAATGGCTCCCCAACCCTTTTCTACTTCTTAAGGCCCCTATACTAAACCCCTACAGTACCCTTTAAAGTGTCCGTTGAACGAACCCTTCAACCCCCCAAACCCTATTCTAGATATTAAGGACCCTATAGCAGAGTAAAGGGTTCGCAGCAGTGATCTGCAAGGGCTCCGTCGCAGGGGCTTCAAGGACTTCAAGGGCTTCGGGATTCATTAGGTTTTAGGGTTGTTAGGGTTGTTAGGGTCAACTAAAGGTCAAGGGAGTTTATGTTGGGATTGTATGGGGATTGTAGTACCCACAAAGGTCAAAGGTTACCTACTCGACGACTATACCCTAAACCCTGATCATGCTTAAAGGGTCATGGGACTTAGTAACTAGGGTTATAATTAAAATAACTACACTTATAACGTCTTGTAACGACTTATAACCCTGATTAAGGTACTTATAACCTTAAGTACTTACTAAGTCCCATGATCCTCCAAGTGTTCCTGCGACTCTATGGCTGCGCAGTCGGGGATGAGCAGGTGGTGGCTTGGGACACTTTTCTGCTCTACCTATATTCGCTGATACAGTAGGTCAGTAGGTACTGCCCCCTTACAGTAAGAGTCTAGAATAAGGCTACTATTAAGGTCCTAATATATCTATATTATGAGTATTATTCAACAATTACTGAGTGGGGGCCGTACCCAACTGATACATAGCTTTCCTGGTGAACCAAGTCCACTCTTAACTCTTGGCACCAGATGATAAGGAACCAAACCCTGAAACACTAACCCCTAAAGCCCAACAAAGCAACCAGATGTGAGGGTCTGGGTATGCGAGTTTAGGTTTCGGGGCAGTTTAGAGCTTATGGTTTAGGGTTTATAGGGCTTAGGGCTCCGTGTATATAATGGGGGTTCGAATTGAGCTCATTCCTCCCAGTCTAAAATGCCTCTGAAGGCAGATGATTCCGGGGGCCCGCATCTGTGGCCAGGGTGTATTCTGGGGGAGATACCTATAGCCTCCATGTTCCTTCGTTTAAGTAACCAAGTTCGAACTGGATCAAAACAAGAACTAGGCTTTGAGGCTCACTCTACTGTAGAATAAGGAGCCCCCAAAAATAGTATTGGTAATTATTTAGGCCCCTATAGTAGGTAGTACGTGATGGAGCCTGAGTAATTCACGAGATTGTTCCTCAGGGCTCCATCGTACAATTATAGCATGGTATACCACCAACCCCGATTCCAGTTATCAAGGCTCCGATAGTATGCGGGTCCGAATGAAACATTTCCACAAAAACCAAACAGTCCAATTTCCCGAGATTCTGAATTAGAGTACATATTAGAAGAGGTAAGGTCTTCAACATCCGTAAGACTATTCCTTTACACTCTCTGGGATCTTAGAGTAACTTATTTACACAAAGTAATCGTAATTACCAGCCATCTAAATACTAGCTCAGTTGCTTCAAACCCAATGGGCAGACTCCGGATAAGCACAATACTTGTGAGCCATTTCAAGAGCTCCGGTCAGTGGCAGCATCTAGCAAGTGCACCACTTCGTCCTGGCCGTGCCGAGATGCGGTCGTCGAAGCTGTGACACCCCTGCTGTCGGCCAAGTTGGTGTCGGCGCCGGCCTCCAGCAGCAAGCGCACGACGTCGACATGACCATGCCGAGATGCAGTCGTCAAAGCTGTCCAGCCACGGCCGTCGGACGCGTTGCTGTCGGCATGGGCCTCCAATAGCAGCAAGCGCGCGGCTTCAATATGACCTTGTGCAGCTGCGAATGTCAAAGCTGTGAAGCCGTCGTGGTCGACCAAGTTTTTGTTGGCACGGGCCACCAGCAGCAAGCGCAAAACGTCGACGTGACGTTGCTCCGATGCGATCCTGAAAGCTGTCGAGATGCTCATGCCGGCCAAGTCTTTGCCGGCACCGGCTTCCAGCAGCAAGCGCGCGATTTCAACACGACCTTGCCAAGATGCAATGCTCAAAGCTGTGCGGCCCTTGCTGTCGGCCAAGTTGATGTCGGCACCGGCCTCCAGCAGCAAGCCCGCGACGTCGACATGACCATGCCGAGATGCAGTCGTCAAAGCTGTCCAGCCACGGCCGTCGGACGCGTTACTGTCGGCATGGGCCTCCAATAGCAGCAAGCGCACGACTTCAACGCGGCCTTGTTCGGATGCAGTGGTCAAAACTGTGCTGCCGTTGACGGCGACCAAGTGTGTGTCGGCATCAGAATCCAGCAGCAAGTGCACAACTTCAACGTGACCTTGCTCCGCTGCACGCATCAAAGCTGTGCGGCCAACGCCGTCGGCCAAGTTTGTGCCGGCACCGGTCTCCTGCAGCAACCACGCAACTTCAACATGACCTTTCCTAGATTCCTAGCCCAGATTCCTACATGACCACGTCAAAGCTGTGAGACCATTGCCACCGACCAAGTTTTTTGCTCGCACCCGCCTCAAGGAGCAAGCGCACGACTTCAGCATGACCTTGCTGCGATGCGATCATCAAAGCTGTGCGGCCAATGCCGTCGGCCAAGTTTTTGCTGGCACCCGCCTCAAGCAGCAAGCGCACGACTTCAAGACGACCTTGCTCCGATGCGCTCATCAAAGCTGTGCGGCCAATGCCGTCGGCCAAGTTTGTGTCTGCACCCTCCAGCAGCAAGCGCACGACTTCAACTTGACCTTGCCCCGATGCGCTCATCAAAGCCGTCCAGCCGTTGTTGTCGGCCAAGTTTCTGTCGGCACCGGCCTCCAGCAGCAGGCGCACGGCTTCAACATGACCTGAGCTCGATGCGCTCCGCAAGGCTGCAGAGACTCTGTTGCCTGCCAAGTGGTTGTCGGCACCTGCTTCCAGCAGCAAGCGCATGACTTCAATGTGACCGTGACCAGATGCGATCATCAAAGCTGGCTTCCTTGATGTTCCGATCACATCTGGATCTTGGGGCAGCTGCATCATGGCCTCAACCTGCAGGGTTTGGCAATTGGACAATTATGTTTGAAGCAGCAACTCTGACTCTGACTGATGCATGTCTTGTAAGCAAAAGCCGGAGGGCTTTAGGCTAGGTACAGCTAAGACGTATACTTTAGCAGCCTTTAGACGGGTTATTTTGACGCTACGTCACTATGGTAGCTACTCGTGTAAGGCTACACGCACCGCTTGTAAAATCTTCTTGCCGGAATCAGCCGGCTCCAGTTGCGACATATCAGAGATGCATAGACGGAAAGACAGATAGACAGACAGACAGACAGGTAGATAGATGGATGGGTAGATAAGTAGATCCAGGTGCAGATAGATGCATATTAAATATTGTATATAGGTAGAGCGATAGGTAGGTAGATAGACAGATGGACAGATAGACAGATACGCAGATAGACAGGAAGACAGATAGATAGATAGACGTTCGGCGTATATACTTTGCACATGAAAGTCTTCTTCGGGATCGTTTGTGTATGTACACTGTTGTCAAACTTCCGACCTTGGAAACGGAGCCCAGCCTAGCAGCGGCTGCAAGGTCGTCGACCTGCCTCTGAGAAACATCTGCAAATGTCAACAGAACGACATCCAGGTCCATCGGGGAGTCCAGCCTCACAGCGTCCTTCAAGCTCTCGCCGTTGTGAAAAACCCTCTGCCTAAATCGAGGGGGTAGCCCATACACCTGAGTCAAGAGCTCCTTCAAGCCCTTCACGTCGCTCACCTCCCCCACGTGTATGCTCGCCAAAGCTTGGCCGGAAAGCATGGTGACGTTCAACATCTTCGTGCAACTGGGAATCCAGCGAATACCTGAACTTCGGCCTGAACGAAGGGCAACAGCAGTAGAACCTGGTAATTGAGCCAAAGCCTGCTGTGGAGCACGGCAGTTTGTCACTAGTTGGATTCTTCGGTGAAATGCTGACAGGACTTCGCTCACATCCACAGCGATTTACAAACAAAACTATCAAGGTTAAGCCTTGAGGCTGGGTCGTGACAATGACCATATACCGGTACTGGCCGTGGTAGAAAGTAGCAACAGGTAATACCAAATAGCAATAGCAATAACGAAGAAGAACCCTTAAACCCTCAACCCTAAACCCTAAACCCTGAGCCCTAAACCTTAAACCCTCTGTGGGAGTCTGAAGTCTGCACTTGCACACGCAATTTGCAACAACCCTAAACCCTAAACCCGATGCAGGCCCAGGGTCCACATTTGACTCCGCCGCCGCTGGCGCCACACGCCGCTGCACGAGACACCGCAAGACCTCAAGGTTTAGGGTTTAGGGTTTTAGGGGTGAGGATTTAAGGTTTAAGGTTTAGGGGTTAGGGTTTAGGGTTTAGCTTTAGGGTTTAGGGCTTACGGTTCAGGATTCAGCGTTAAGGGTTTCAGGGTTAAGGGTTTAGGCGCACACACACACACAAACACACACACGTGCTTTGGGATTTCGAGGCTTCCCGTGATTTCAATTGCTCATGCTACTGATCGTCTAGTTTGTAGGAAGACACACCAGTACAATTCTTCAGGGTTCCTTGAATTGAATATGGTTTAATGTTAATTTACCCCCAAATGCTTCCTGACTATAAAGGTCCTTATATTACTTTCAACCTCGATCCCGAAATCACGGAAACCTGAACAGCATGTCGTCTTGCTACTTGTCTATCATCACAATTCTGTCATTATTTAAGGGGAGGCCAAGAGGGGGTTTAAGATTCTTATGGTAGGGATTCCTTAGTATGAACCCTATTATGGGAACCCTAATCCCTACTAAACCCGCATAGGCTAAAACCCCTTTTGGCCTCTTATGAAATCTGGAACCCTGCAGCTGGAAGGAAGGGCAACGTCTCGACAATTCAGCCGAAATCCAAGATAACAGCCCAAGCGGCTGGCACTTTAGGATTGCGCAAAGTTTGGGAATTCGGGTTCTGGGTTCAGCACAACACGCGGCCTAAATGCTAAACCCTGAACATTTCAACAGCATCCACCCTAAAACCCGCAGACATCGGAACCCTCTACTCCCGCAAGACCCGGCTATAACTACAAACCCTAGACCCTTAGGGTTCAGGGTTTAGTGTTTAGGTGTTAAACCCAATTCTATATACGGGTCCAGGCACCCCAACAGCCGGTTGGTATCAAAAAGCTTTCAGCCCGTAAAATTTGCCACCTTAAATGCTACTTTGAGTATCTGAAGATTCTGGGAATTGTAAAGATCCGGGCTTTGATGCTTAGAACAGGATTCCTTCAAAGATCCTGTACGGCTTACTATGAGACTTCTATTTTTCAGGCTTCTGTATGACAAGCCCAAACCCTAAACCCTGCAGAAAACCCCCAGCAGATTCCACGCAGTACAACAGAGCAGACGCCCAGACACACCCCAAAAAGGCCTAGACCGTAGACCCTAAACTACTAGGGTGTTAGGGTGTAGGGCCCTTATACCCCACAAACCGTAAACCCTTGAGGCTCATCTCACTGAGGCTGCTCCCCATCTCGCAAAGCAAGAAGAAATCATAAGGACACTTCGGGCGGTAGGGGGGAGGGAGCCATAATACCTATAGTAAGGACATAATTAAATTAATAAGGCCTATTTAAGGAAGTATAGTCCCCTACCCCCCTCCCCCCCCGAGCCCCCTAAGGGTCCCTATGAAGAAAACGAACCAATCCAGGCAAGCTTTGGGCTTCGGCGGGACGCCTTCGAGGGTTCATTTATGCGGTTCCAAGTTTTCAAGCGTAATATGAGGGCTTGAACAAATGCAATAAGGTTTTGGGAATCCACTATAATACAGTTGAAAAATAAGGAACACACGAACTAGTATTCACAATCATTTTGGCCCCCAACTACCCTTTAACATACCCTAAATACCCACGTCTAGGGACCAGAAGAGCTCCATTAAAGAGCCGTTGGGGGGTCCTGATTCCTAAACCCTGAATATCCTAAACCCTCTAAACCCTAAACCCTATAGATCCCTGATAGAACCCTTATGGGTTTCTTTAAAGGAGCCCTATCTTAGCCCCATGAACATGCTGCAGTGCAGCAAAAGTCTCGAGGAGGTCGGGACTTCCTCTGGCATTCGTCCTGCCAGCGGCTTGCGAAGGATTACTTAAAGGATCATGGGACTTAGTAACTAGGGTTATAATTAGGGTAACTGTATATATATATATATATATATATATATATACTTATAACTACTTATAACCCCAATTAAGGTACTTATAACCTTACTTACTAAGTCCCAGGATCCTCCAAGTAGGGTTCCTTTTAAGGGATCCATGAGGGGCTCCTTCTAAGGGATCTATAAGGGTTCGAAAAAGGGATCGAGGGTTCAGGGCCAGCTTAGGGTTCGAGGATTTAGGGGTTTTGGGGTTTAGGGAATGGTTTAGGGTTTAGGGTTTAGGGTTTAGGGTTTAGGGTTTAGGGTTTGGGGTTTCGTGTTTATGGGGCTGTAGGTTTAGGGCGCAGGGACTGACGGCTCTGCCGCCGCCCTAACTTGCCCTTCGAAGAGGACCACGTCGTAAGTTAGGCTCTGGACAGGGAAACTACTCATAACGCTACTAAGCAGCCCAAGTAACATACCTACAACTTTGTCTTTAACCGGCCATGAACGAATGTCGCCTGAGCAGTCAGTGATTTGAAGCCCTATGTAGTGTGGTTCTCAATCATCTTCCCTGAGTGGCGCAAAGACCTACAGTAATAATCATGTACTTCCCAAAACTAAAATACAAGCCCACAGTTCTTCATATCCTAAACCCCAACACCGACGTCTTATTGGGCCCCAAACGCCAGGTCGGTGGTATGTAGGGTTTAGTGATAGTGCTTAGGGACATGCACCGGCAGTGCAGCCTCTGCTTCAATCAAAGGGGAAAGGAGGGACCCTTAATGGGGACCCCTACCCTATAACGGGCTATATATATATGGGTATATACTAGCTATATTAAGGGTATATACCTAGCGGTCCTTATTAAGGGCCCCTCCTTTTACCCATGGATTCAAGACACGACGGCACCATTGCTCCATAAGGTTTGGGACCTAAGGGGCTAGATCCTTGGAGGTCTATGTGGCGCCTGAACCCCACACGCTGTACCCTAAACCTTACTCTATAGGGGCCTTAGTACTTAGAATAGAGTCTTGGGGTCATTATATTATACTTCCCTAAACCCCCAAACGTAGGTAAAACAATGGCCCAACACTCATGAAAAAGCAGTCTTCTGCGATGCGTGTTTGATATGGGGTCTCCAGTGTAGTTCCCAAGTCCCTCAGCCCTCAGGCCTAAACCTACACCTTATCAGGATTCGGCTGTGGCAAAGAAGTCGAAATGATGACGGTTTAGGGTTTAGAGTTGCTTTTAGGGTAAATGATGACAGGAGGTTTTGGGGCATATCATGGTATACCTTTACAGTAAATCACAAGAGGATGTCATGACTTATTGCGAACTGTAAGCAAGGATTAAATGCAAACCCAGACTGGGCAACTGCGCTCACTGTTTGGGTCTCAGATACATCCGAACCCTATATCACACGCTTGGACTTGCCCTACAGACAGGGCATCAAATATAGAACTATGCTGTCCATTCACATAAACCCTGGTGAGCAGGCAATGCCTGCAAAGTTAATATGTTGTGGCATCATTGAGCTCGTGCACGACAAGTCAACCGCATATCACAAGATAGACCGCATACCCCTAAACCCTAAACCCTAAACCCTAAACCCTAAACCCTAAACCCATACAACAAATTACCTTTCGAATCCAGACCTGGCGCTCGCAACCCCAAAACTCCAAGCCGTAAACCTGAGAGTGACCTGTGAAGCATTCTAAACGTATCCCCAATATAGAACCCTTCGAGTAAGCCCATCATAATATGGATCCCTTATAGTGTTATAGCACGCCCTTTAAAGAACGTAACACCGATAAACCTCAGAGGTTCAAGCCTAAATCCTAAACTCCTAACCTCGGATCCCTAAACCGAAAATCCCAAGCCGCACCTGAAACCCAAGCCGCACCTGAAACCCAAAGCCCGGGAACCAAACCTACAAGCCCCTTATAGTGGAACCCTTATACAGCCCTGGTATTGTCGGAACCGTTGTAGTTCCCTTTGAAGGAACCCCCAAACTGCCGCCGAGGGTCAGCTCGTTCGTTGGGGCATTGGACTCTTCCGTGGACTCCTCGGCGAGACCTTGGGCGGGCTTCGGGACGAATTAGGGGGGTTGGCTAACCAGGAGAGCCCAAGAACCCTTAATTAAGGAATCTACCTTAAATCATGAAAGGCCTCATAACTAGGTTTAAGCTATATATTCCTTAGTTAAGCGTTTTTGGTTATTGGCTCTCTGGGTAGTTCGAGAGGCGTATCCAGGGGTGGGACGAAGATAGGTTAGGCAATCCCAACATAAGAGTCCTTCTATAAGCGAGCCTTAATCCTACCCTTACTGGGATTCCCTTGACATTACTCTTAAGGATTGAGGCTTTTGGGTTTCCAGCTTTTGGGCTTCTACCATCAGAGTCCTTAAACCACATGGGTAGTTATCCAAAGTAGGGTCTCGTTTAGGGTCCTGTTCTAGAACAGTGCCGTACTATTTTGGGGACCTAAGAAGGGAGCCTGGTAACAAAATATCCCTTCAAGGCATTAAGCTTCAATAGGTTATGTTTACGTGCACATGTCGGATCCCAATTGTTACATATTTATGTGCACATGTCGGCCCCCCTAACAAAGCTCAAACCTCTATAGACCCAAACCTTGAACTGCCCTAAACCCAACGCCATCTAGGTTCTTTTGTGACGCCTTTATAATGATACGTGTACCTTTTTCCTACTATTCGGTTTAACAACGGACGCCAAACTAAAAAGGGCAAAAGTTGACTGGATTTAGAAGCATCGGTGATTTCACCCCCACAAACCACTCGAGAACAACAGCCAAAAATCCCGAAAAACTTGAAAAACCTTGAAAACCCAGTTTCCCAAAAAACACAAAAATCTTGAAAATCTTTCCAAATACTAAAAACAACATACAAACAAAAATCACAAAAATTCCAATAATCTTGAAAAATATTTGCCAAAAATCTTGAAAATGTTATGATTATTTCCAAAATGTTTCAAATTATTTCCACAAATATCCGACCTAATTTATGCGTATGTATATATATATATATATATATATTCATCTATAAAATACTATGCACTGGCGCCATCTTGTTTTACCCTCGCCGCAACTTCTTGAAGGCTCCGCGGGACCCAAGGCCCTCTGGCCCTGCAGAAGCCGCGCCGCTTTGCAGCAAAGCCACCGCTGCACATGCCGTATCTACGTCTTCTACATGAGAGACAGGGGCGGCAACCTCAGAATCTCTCCATTCAAGGCATGCGAGCAGGCTCTGAACAACACCCATGACGACAGGCAGAGCCATCGCATTGCCTGCCAAGTCTGCCATCAGCCCTTCAGTGGGGAACCCGGCCGGCGGCCTATCGACACTCCCGGCCGGCGGCCCCTGGTCGAACTTCGTCTCCCCTCCACGCTTCTTGCTACTGGAAGCGGCAGTCTCATTTGCAGACCCGGTTTGCAACCCTTGCCTCTGCCTATCTTCGCAGAACTTGCTGTCTTGCAAAGCTTGCAGGAATGAATAGACGGGGTAGCCCTGCAAACATAAGGCTTCCCGCCCCAACAATATGCGAGCCTTGCTGGAATCGATCTTGTTCTCCAGCCACAGGGTCATCTTAGTGAGAAGAGTCGGGCACACATGCCGACCCAGGTCCTCTTGCCAGGTGGTAGTGTTTGCCCGCGTAATTGACTGGCTGAGATCACGCACCATCGTAAGTCGCTGCGGCATCTGTGCTTGAAGCAACGGCAGAGCATTCTTTTCACGATTGCCAAGTGTGTGGTACCAGGGGTTTTGCTGCAGGTGCTCGCCTACCGGTTGTGACCACAGCGTTTGCAGACTCTCAGCGAAGCGCATATGCGCTTCCGGCCACTCTGCCTGCCCAACAGAAGACATTGGCTCCTGAGGTTTGCTTCTGCGGGCTGCAAGCTCTGCCAAAACAGCTTCGTCGTCGTGGGGCAGCAGGACATGCTCCAAAGATGGTGGCTCCCGCATGCACGTGCCCAGGAACTTACGGAAATAGGAAAAACATTCCATCACCGGCCGTTTGGAAAAATCCACAAGGTTGTTGGCAGTCATCTGAACAAAAACAACGTAAAGTCTCCTTCGTCGGCATGGCAATCCGAATTTGGAGGCTTCGCAAATTGTTGCTTGAGCTTGGTATCCACGAATGTGAAACTCCTGCAGCAGCACCTCCATGTTTGAACCTGGCCCGCTCGACGAGCTATCCTCCAGCAAGGCGTCCACGTTTTCGTAGCAAACTAGCGGCGGCCGCTGAGCATCCAAGTACGCGAGCAAGCCACGAAAAGTTTGGGCGCTTCCGCCACGAGAGGTTGTCTGCTGAAGGACGTTGTGATGTTTTGCCTTATTCTGATTTGCTTTGCTCAAATCACGACACGAAGTGCCCGCGACCAAGAGGTCGACGTGCGGGACGAAGCATTTGCCGCCGTGCGCCATGCATTTGGACAAGCGGCTCCCCATATCAGTAATGTCGCAGAACCGGCAAGGCATCTCAGAGGAGTCAGGAGGTGCTTTGAAAAGATCCGGATTGAAGTCCTCGAAGTCCTGAGCATTAACCTCCCGCTGAGCAGCATCCGCAGCTTGACCCGGTGTGCCACCTTCCCTTGCTGCAAGATTATCCCCATCATCAAGCTTTTCATATTTCTGCTTCTTTTTGGATGTACTTGCGCTAGTTGACTGCTGCAACTGCTTCAGAGTTGCCGGGCCGCAGTCTGCAACAGCCTCTATCCAACAACGCTTGTCTGGCTGGATCTCACAGCTGAATTTGTGTTCCAAAACGAAGTCCTGACATGCAGCATCCACCGCTGCATTGATTGCTTGCATCACGAAATAGACGCCTTCGGAGCCTGAGCAAAGGCTGCCCCAAGTCAGTTTTCTCGGGGTTGGGTAGACGCTAGTGTCCGCAACTTCCCCAAACCGTTGAAAGTTGCTGCGCGCAACCCGCAACAACCATGACCCACTGTGCAGCTCGTCTGCACTTATGGGATCAGGTTCGCAGATGTTCGGTGTCTCAGATACCCGCTCCACGAGCTTTCGACTCATCTGGCTCTGGCCCGAGCAGCGTCACAATCCTCACCGTGGCTGCGCAGCACCCTTCACACGGCCCACCCACCCTTTGACCGCTTAGCTGCTGGTTGCGCCACGGCAACACTCCTTGCGGTACCCAAAAAGTGAAACGTACGTGCCTAGCTGTCCGGGACCTAAAAGCTGCCTAAGCTATTCTAGGGTTCTACCGTCGACTGTTTCCTGCACCAGCAAATCAGGACATATAACTATGATGGAATTCATGGAGATAAACAACTTTGCATCTTTGCATGCGTTGACACGACTCTATATAACAGCCCGGCTGAACTTAATGATACATTCATTCAGGTCCAAGTTCGAGCCAGCTGGCTGGGGCGACGCGCGGTTTCCTGGCATGGAGTCACGCGTATGTGCATGTAACTTACAGGCCTGTACTAATACTACGGCAGTCCTTGCGATCCGACAGGTGACACGTGCTCTGCGCACGAATGCTGCAATTGATTTTTTGAGCGCGCCGGAAGACGCAAGTCGGTGCTGAACTGTAACGCTGAAGCTGGAGAACACACTCAGCAGTCGCAAGTGCTGGGGACGCTGATACCGATACTACAGTATATATTATGTATTTTTGCAGTGACTAGACTGACACGACTGAAGCACAACGTCACAGAACTCTGGTACACGACTGTCACCAGTACGAGCGACTGCTGTCCCCAGGACGAACCGGAACCGTCTCGGTCGTGCTTTGGCTGTTCTCACTGTTTCTTGTCCTTGTTCTTCCGGAAGAGCTCTGCCAAGCCTTTGTTCCAGTCTGCTGGCTTCAGCTGCGCAGGCTTTGTACCCCGGTCAGCGACCCCTGGTTTCACCTCTGCCTCTGCCTTTGCTGCGGCTGCGGCTGCCTGTTTCGGCTGCGTCTTGGCTGCAGCTTTGACCTTTGCCTTTGCTTTGACTTTGGCTTTGGCTACCGCTGAAGCAGCGGCAGCTTTCACCGAGTCACGCACAGTCTGCACAGTCTTGGCACGCGGTCCCTTGGCGCCCTTCTCCGGGACGGCCTCCTCTTCGTCCTCTTCGTGCTTTCGCTTCTTGCTCTTCTTGTTTTCCTTCTGCTGCTTTTCGACTCTCTTCTTGCTTTTCTTTTCTTTCTTGTCCTTCTTGTCTTTTTTCTTCTTGTCCTTTTTGTCCTTCTTTTTTTTCTTGTCTTTGTCCTTGTGTTTTTTCTCCTTCTTGTCTTTGCCTGTCTTCTTTTGTTTCTCCTGTTTTTCTTGGCCCTCTTTCTCCACTGCTTTGCTTTTGCCTCCCTGCGTGGATTCCTTAGCCTTGGCCTTAGCCTTCTGTTTGTGAGGGATGACGAAATCCTTGCCCTTGAGATCTAAGAGTATCGTGGCTTTGACAGGAGGAATCACCGGCTCGGCGAGCTTCGAGATGCCGGATGCTGTGCCCGTTCCAGGCTGAAGGCCCTGCCCCGCTGAGCCTCGCTTTCCGGGTGGCTCTGCAGCGTCTTTCAGCGGCGCGAGCGTTCCAGGATCAACCAGTTGGTCCTCCTCTAGCTCCTCCTCCTCACCGTTTTCCTCTTGGCAGGCCTCTTCCCGGTCTGCGACCTGTGTTGTCAGTGTTGCTGCAGGTGCTGCTGCAGCTGCGCTTTGGTCAGCATCCGTCGCAGCAGCCTGGTTGCTTGCAGGCTTGGAGCTGCAGCTGCTCTCTGCCACAAGCTCTTCTTCCAGCTTCCGCTTCTGCCCCACCTGCACGCTTTGCGGCGGATCCTTACAGCGCGGCAGCTCTTCCGGCTGAGGACTCGCGGCAACTGCCTCTGCCACTTCCCCGGAGAGGTCTCTTTCGCCGAAAAAAAGTGTGAACGGCATCTAAATGGAGACTGTCGCTTTTTCTTCATGGCTCGGAATTGGCTCGCCGCAAAAAATGAGCTATTCGCGCTTTTGGCAGGGGGAGCTCAGCTTATGGCGATTTTTCTGATGGGGTTCGGCTCAAACTCGTAAATTCTGGCAAGCTGTAGGTACATTTTGCCAATTTTCTGCGATCGACAGGTATAGTT